ATCAGGCACCTTTGAGCTGTCATAACAGATCTAGGCTGCTTATTTCCAGTTTCACAAGAGAAAAATTACAATTTCTTACTAGTTTAAGCTACTCTTATGAGGTTGTTGATATTGTCAGCCTAAATCAATCTCTTAAGTGGTACATTGAGAAATAATCTAAGTGAAGCTTTGATAGAGAGACAAAAACAAAGTGTCTTGTACTTATACATATATGGAAATTATTTACTTGAGTAGCTCATAAATTAGCTCTGGAATTAATTCTAAAATTTGTTTCAAAAATAACTTTGACCAATTAGGAAAATTCAAATTAAGTTCCAACACAAGGGAAAAACAATTTTGTTGTTGTTGTTGTTATCTATATGAGATGATTGATGATAATTAAACTTATTGCGGTAATCATTTCACAACATATGTAAGTCACTTATACAGTGCTTATGTCAATTATATATCAATAAAACTGGTGGGAAAAAAGTAGACTATTATCAATATCTTTGAAGCTCTCTGTGGGCCCATCTTTGATCTCATCTTCTTTTTCTCACCAAGAGATATTCAATGTAATGAATTTTGTGTTAATCATTTCTTTGCTTTCATTAGAGTTTGCATGTATCCCTAAAAGTTTATCATTAGTACTATCTGTTTTTGAACTCTATGAAATAGACTCAGTATATGTATTCTTTTGTGACTTGTTTTTTCATTGACATTTTTTTGAGATTCATCCATGTTTATCTAATAGCTGTGACTCATTTATTGTCACTGCTGTTTAGTATTTCAGTGGACATGTGAGTTACGTCCAATATTTTGTTATTACAAACAATAATTCTATAAGCTTTTTTATATGGGTTTCCTGCAAAACTTTTCTAGAGCAGAAGTTGGCATACTGTGGCCCCTGGTCATATATGTATAGCTTGTGAGTTCAAAATTGTTTTTACATTTTTTAATTGAAAAAAGCAAAAGGGTAATATTTTATGATATATAAAAATAGGAAATTCAGTGTCGTATTTGTTAAGATATTTGTTTATGGCTGCATTAATGCTACAATGGCAGAGCTGTCATCTTAGTCATCTATACGTCCTTCAAAGCATAGTCACACCACCTATTCTGCAAGGCTTTTCTTGAGACTGCCTTCTCCTTTACTTCCTGTCATATTTATTGTAACATGCCAGTCCTTTAGATCTCATCACGTAAAATTCATTATAATTCACTTTTTATGTACTAAACAACCTTCTCAACCACATGAAAAAGTCTCTTGGGTTCGAGACCATGTTTCATGACACAAATGTAACACAACAGCTCTACAAATGCTTGTTTTTGTTGCTGATAATAATGACGGCACTTTTCAGATGCTTTCCTAGAGACTGAAAGAATTTGTACAGCTTCACAAAGTGCTAGATTTAATGTCAGTAAATAATTTTAATGAGAAAATTCACTAAAGCTGTTTGTTCATTTATTTGTTCAATAAGATTTCTTTACAATTTGTCTTTCTCTTCTGGACTTCCATAGAATTAACTTTTCTCAGAAATAATTTATTAGTATATGTTCTTATGTCCTTACTACACTGTAAGCCCTTTGAAGACATTAACCATTTTATTCATCTCAGTATTTTTTTACAATATGTGATACAGTCAGCTTCCCACAGATGATATACAATATGTTTTGAATGAATTAATGAGTTTGCACATAACTAACTATACTAACCTCTATTAGAAGATGTAAAATCAGAACATATGTTTGTCTTCCACCAATATGTTTTAGTCCTATGTGTTTTGTTGAAGAAACAAAACAAATAATAGAAGCATCAGTATAGTGACTTAGCAACTTTTGAATGCATAATTATAAAATAGTGACCATGTATGTAAGTATAGAAGGTTGTTGTTAAATAGCAGATTTCAAGTTCTTATATCATCCCAAATGATTGATTTAAAATTATATATCTCACACGCTTAATTTGCTATTCGAAAGTCACTGTGACAAACTACACTAAAAAAGTTTCATCAAACTGAGTTATACATTTGTAGTCTATTTTAAATAAAACACACAAATTTATAACATCAAATTTACTGACACTTAAGTAAGCAAAACAAAACCATTACTCATTTGATTATGTTTTGAGTATAATCTTGCCTACGGAGTAGAAATATAACAAATATAACAAATCTATAAATTCTTCTCAACTGGAATGAAGAGTAGGATACTTTTGTGGATTTAAGATATTCAAATTTAAAAGTAAGAATAGATTCTTTCCTATAGTAGAGAAAACCTGGAAGACCTACAGGGTGGTATTTTGAAAAAGCCATTTCAACTGTGAGACTTTATTTAGGTGGAGAAAATTAAAGTTTTATTATACTATATGATAATTTGGCAGTAACTTTATCCTCACATAGCATCACTATTTTCATTTAATACAGTCCATCCTGTACCTAAAAATATTCAAGATGATTTATTCTATTAAATACAATATTCTTATTATAAAGCACTCATTAATCACTTCTTCCACATACAGTGAAAACTGCTATCATCATCAATTTTCATTCATATTACTCCAATATGAATAACTTTGAATAACATTTTGCTAAAAAATATTAAAGTACAATCATGTCCCTGAACTACATTCATTTCATAGACAATCCGTATTAAAGGGTTATTGATAATGGATGTTAGAATGCTTTCCTGCTCCTCTAACTTGAGTGACCTTTGCTGAGCTACTCAAAATTTGCATTTTAATTTTTTTATCTTTACATAGAAATGACATATGGAAGAGACTTTAATGTTGCTTCAATACCTTGGAAGTTCTCCCTGGTGGAATTTGAAACTGGACCCATACACAGAGGGCAATGAGAGACCAAAGAAAGAAGCAGTCCACTCCAGATTGGTAGATGGCAGGTTTAATAAGCAAAGGAACTTAGATATGAGTCTTATCTTGGGCAGCTGTAAGACAAGTAGATCTTTGCACCCGTCACCAGAAACCTAAGAGTTTCTATAGAGGCTTTAACAGGGTTTAGTCACATACACAATCCAGATGGTATCAATATCATTACTTTCTCAAGGCTGCTTCCTTGAAGTAGCTCCTCACATGGGAGAAGTGGGTGGAATGTACATTCCAAGGATGGGAGAGTGGGTAAGGGGCCTCTGATTGCCTGGGTCCAGCTCTCAGGTTAACCAGCAGTCACATCCTCTCTCAATAACCTCCCTTACCACTTAAGTATCAGCCAGTCCTACTCTTTCTTTTGTTTGCAGATAAGGATACAAACCCAGGAATGAACCAATCTTAGGACTATTTCAAACCCACTTACATTTCTAGGAAAATACTATGTAAGCTAAAATGTATAATAATATAAATAAATGAACTTGGATTAATTTTATTCTCTTTAAAAAAGAAATGTAGCACTCCTCAATATTCTGAACTCAAATATCCTGAAATGTATATTAACATGTTTTAGTAGTGTCCTTTAATAGTGTATTTTTTGTGACTTTTTATAGGCAAATCATTTAAGAAATTTTCAACCCATCATATAAATGCTAACATTTAAGACATTCACTGTCAAGATTTTCTTTCCTTCATTCCACAATTTCAGTCAAAAATTCATTCCAAAAATAAGTAGAAATGAGAAATTAATTAAAGCAAATACTTTTGAAAAATTCATAATACAGTTTTTCTGTTATGCTCTATTGACATAAATGAAGCTCCTTATTATCTGCCTTAGCTTTCTGCCTAGTTATCCATAAAACAAGGACTCTTCAATATTTATCGAGCCCCAATGACATGTACTGAGCTAGGTTCTGCAAGGGATGTTAAAAATGAATAAAGCATGAGCCCTCAGGGAATATACCATCTCTAGTGGGAGAAATAAATAAGTACTGTATTCAAATTCTGAAGTGAGAATTATAAGTGTATATGACAGTTAAAATAAAGAGCTTATGAGAATTTAAAGGAAGGTTAGATCATACCAAGTGGGAGAAATTGGAAAATGAAGGCTAAACGTAGAAATTGAGACCTGACCAGAATTTCCAGAGCAAGGTCTTCTAAGGAAAGGTATATACTCAGTAAACAAGAGGAAATGAAAATGTCAGGTGCTTACTTTTGGCAACTTCAACGGATCTAGATTCCCTATAGTGCAAGGGAGTAATGGGGGGAAAAGAGTGGATCAGTGTATCCCCTATTTTTCCCAGCTGCTGCTTCTCTTTACCATATATTTTAATATTTATAATAAATTTATTCTCTTCTGAGTAGGAAAAAAATAATTCCTGAATAGGATCCAGAATCTTAAGCTCCACCTCTGCCCAGCTAAACAAAACTAAATATTTTGCTTGATGAATCATATGTGCTGGAAAGCCAGTTAACTCTGTTGCAAGGTTTTGTCTTAGAGCCTGATGGGGTATATGATGAGCTTTGAGGTCTGCCAGTCCTTGGTTGAAAATCGAGACTCAAACACAGTATGTGATTTGGGCTGATAATAACAAAGACGACTATCAATTTCCTATGCATTTCACCTGTAATCCTCTAAAACAGCTCTTCCTGCTCTTCTTAAACTTGAATGCTCAAAATATAACCTGGTGTTCCTGTTAAATTGGGAATTCAGATTCAGTAGGTCTGAGATGAGGCCTGAGACTGTATATTTTTAATGAGCTCACAGTTGATACTGAAGCTGCTGGTCTGTTGACCATTTTTGAGCAAAGGCTGGAAGCGTGGACCGCGGCCATCAGAATCATCACCACCTGGGAATTTGTTAGACGTGAAATGAAAATTCTTGGACCCCACACCAGACCTACTGAATCAGACACATTGGGATGAGGCCCAGCACCTGGTGTTTTAACGAGCTCTCCAGGTCACTGATTTTCTAACATAATTGCAACACCCGAATCACGGGAGAAGGGGCGGGTAATATTAAATACTATTTATGCTCAAATCTCACCCCTAAAGGTCCCCCCGTAATGTTGCGTGGTATGATCTGGGCATCCAGCTCTACCAGGTGACTCTAATTTACAATAAAATTTTAGAATACCGCGAGGTAGGTGCTTGAACTTAGGCCTTATTTTCCGCTTCTGTAAACGTGGATAGTGTCCCTGCTGGTTCCTGCCTTTGCTTCCAGATTTTGGCATCTCCAGCCAGCCTTAGTCGGCCGCGATCCCAGTTCGGTCTCCGGGAGCTCGCCCGGTGTCCACAGCCTCTGCCTGAGAACCGGTCGCGGACCTGCCTGAGAATCAGCCACGCGGCTCTACATTCCCGCACCGCCAGCACCTACGTGGCTCAGGTCTCGCCCGCGTCCATTTGCGGGGGATCCCGGAGGGCGCGGGAGCTGGATGCGCATGCGCCCGGCACACGCCAGGCCCCGGCCAGAGTAACGGACTCGAGCTCCCCCCGCCGGAAGTGGGCGACGGCGCGTCGGGAGGAGTCGGCTGTAGCGTGGCGGCTGTGGGCTTTGGGCTCCTGGTCCGAGTGTCTCGCGCCTTCCTCTCCGTGCCATGGCAAAAAAGGCCACCATCCTGGTGCAGCTGCTCCTGGGGTCCACGATTCTGTGGCTCTCGCTGCTCGGCTCCGGGACGGCCTCCGAGTCAAAGTCGGTGACGGCCCGCTTGGCTGCGAAGTGGCCCGAGACTCCGCTGCTGCTGGAGGCCAGGTGGGTGCGGGCCGGACCCTCTGCGGAGCCCAGCGCGGAGGGAGGGCCCGGCGTGGTTGGGGGCGCGCAGAGACCCTGACTGCTCCTCCGACGCCGTCCTTGCACCGCTGCTCCAGGTGCCCTCGTGCTTGGCTCTCGGAGCATCACCTCCTCCCCTTCTACCCCGTGCGAAGCACTCACTTGCAAATTCCCTTTTCCGCACAGTTCGTATTTTGCCTCGCCCGCGGTTTTTAAAACTTCGAGATTTTCTTTAATTCTTTTGGATTTGATTAGCATTCACGAAGGGAAAAGGGAAGAATGAGTGGTGGAGTGTGGCGTTCAACACAAGCACTTCAGTTAATGTGGACTTCGTGTGGACAAGATTTGAAATCAGAAAGCATGATACCTCTATCTTTGTTCTGTCTCAAGATTGCTTTGGCTCTTTGGAGTCCTCTGTGGTTCCATACAAATTTTAGGATTGTTCTATTTCTGAGAAAAGTGCCTTTAGCATTTTGATAGAGACTGCATTGAATCTGTAGATTGCATCGTGTTATATTGACACTTTAACAATATTAATTCTGTCAATCTGTGAGCACAGAATATCTTTCCATTTCTTTGTGTTATCTTCAGTTTCTTTCACCAGTATCTTACAGGATTAGTGCACAGATCTTCCACTTCCTTGGTTAAATTTATTCTTCAGTATTCTTTTTGATGCAGTTGTAAGTGAAATTGTTTTCTCAATTTCTTTTTCAGGTGGTTTGTTATTGTTAGAACTGCCACAGATTTTTGTATATTGATTTTGTATCTTGCAATTTTACCGCATGGGTTTATTAGTTTCAACAGTTTTTTGGTGGAAACTTTAGGATTCTCTATAGGTAATATGTCATCTGCAAATAGTGACAGTTTTACTTTTTTCCAATTTGGATGCTTTTAATTTTGTTTTATTGACCTAATGCTCTGGCTAGAACTTCCGATACTATGTTGAGTAAAAGTGGCAGAGTGGGCATCTTTGTCTTGTTCCCGATCTTAGAGGAAAAGCTTTCAGCTTTTCACCATCAAGTATGGTCTTAGTTGTGGGCTCGTCATGTATGGCCTTTATTATGTTGAAGTATGTTCCCTCTGTCCCCACTTTGTTGAGAATGGATGTTGAATTTTGTCAGCTGCTTTTTATTTTTCTCATATTTTTATCCTTTATTTTGTTAATGTGGCGTATTGTATTGCTTACTTTGTGGATGTTGAACCATCCTTGCTTCCCTGGAATAAATTTCACTTGATTGTGGTGTACGATCCTTTTAATGTGTTGCTGAATTCAATTTGTTAATATTTCGCTGTGGATTTTTGCATCTATCTTATCAGGGATATTGGCCTATAATTTTCTTGTGGTGTCCTTGTCTGGTTTTGTACTGCTGGCCTGTTAAAATGAGTTTGGGAGTGTTCTCTCCTCTTCTGTTTTCTGGAAGAGTTTGAGAAGAATTCGTATTCTTTAAATATTTGGTAGAATTCACCAGTGAAGCTCTCTGGTCCCTGACTTTTGTTTGTTGGAGGTTTTAGTTACTGATTCAATCTTCTTATTATCAGTCTGTTCAGATTTTATGTTTCTTCTTGATTAAATCTTGGTAGGTTGTATGTTTTTAGGAATTTATGCATTTCTTCTAGGTTGTCCAGTTTGTTTATAGCATTATCTTATGATCCCTTGTATTTTTGTGGTATCAGTCGTAATAAAACAACTTTTATTGAACAAATTATTCTAGCTCAGAGTATGTCCCCTTCCTCTATCTTTTAATATTAGAAGTATTTTGAGTCTTCATTTAGAAGTTTGGTGATATTTTTATGACCAGAAATATGCCATAGAAATTCTTGTTTATATCAATTAAATTGGTTTCATTATATGTCATTTTGTTTAAAGTCACAGTTTCTAAGAACTTATCTACAACATTTAATGAGGACTCACTATATTCGTTCGTTAGGTGCAATAAGAGTATTTCTTTTTCATATTCATTTTTCCCAAAGCTCAGTACACAGAAGTAGGTGCTCAATAATGTTGATTCAGTGGAAGGGACCATGTATATAAGGTACTATATACTTCAAACCACCATCAGAATTATCTCTGCAATATACCTGACTTGTGGAAACTGGTCTCCGCTTAGGTAATCCAGACCTGTTGCTCACTGTTATCGCTTGTGCCTGCTTGTTCTGTTGTGAACAGATAGTTAGCAGGTCTTTTATATACTCTTTTTTTTACACCTTTTATTTACTTGTCCTGACTTCATCCTTCTGAACCAAATCTTTCTTCTTTGTGACAGTGTAGCAGACTAGAAGCCTATAGTTTCTTTAACGAGTGCACTTTTTAATTTTGTTTTCTAGACTTCATTATTCTGCTCATCTTCAGGTTTTAATGTTTCTCTTAAGTCAGAATTTTAGGAACACCAGCAAAGTTATGGAGGAATAAGTGTGGAAGAGGAAGAATTGAAGAGCATTGGATAAATTGAAGAAACTTGGGAGATAGAAAGTTAAGAAAAGCAATACTTTCTGTTTGGGAAGCTCTTTTTTTTATTTTTTGTTTAAAGCATTATTCTTGAAATTTCTCTTACTGCCCAATTATATATCATATATTTTTAATTCAGCATAAACATTTGAGTGCCTGATTTGAGCATGACCTTATGATGGGCACTGTGTCAGAAACAAAGATGAATGAGGGAAGTTCCCTGCCTAAGGAAATTAGTATAATTAAGTACTATTTACTAGGGATAATTATAGGCTGATGAGGCTAATTTTTTATAGTACATATACCATAACTTATACATCTAAACTGCATTTATTCCACTGGTGTTGCTTTTGGTGAAAATATTTTTTGGAATTCCATTTATAATTATTGTCATGCTCTTTGGTACATATAAAAACACCCTCTATAGAAATAATTTTTTCTCTATGGTAGAATTTTTGGGGAAACATTATTATTGGGAGCTAAATGTTATATAGGACAAGTAAACAAATTGGAAATGCCAGTTTTTTGGTTTTTCCCTTCTAAAAACTTTGACCAAAGATAATATTTTTTGGAAGGTGAGGAACTAATTTAGATGGTCTCAAGGATATTTCCTCTTCTAAGATTAATAATGAGTTACTGGCAAATTGCCCCTGGAAGTAATTCCAGGAGAGTTCCAAAAACGCTTAGAGCTTTGGTACAAATGGAGGTGAATAAGTGTAAGTGAATATTTTCTTAAGGTGAGCACTTAGAAGGACCATACTTAGATGTATAAATTCCGGCATATGGAAGAAGTCTTTTACCTATGGATGTACAGTATTATGAGCATGTCAGTCGTTGGTTGGTCAAGTCGATTTGGTATTAACTGTTGCTCCTTACTTAAGGTTTTGTAACATTCCTGTCCTTTTCGGGTCACATCCTATTGTTCCCATTGTTTGCTTTTAGCTCTTTTTATGCCATTGAATTGAACACCATTAATAACAAGAATTGTTTTGAAGTTATTGCTTTAATTCATATGCTTGTCATGTTTATGTCGATGAATTAAGTTTTCTCACCCCCTTTTCTCCCTTTAGTGATCATCTCAGAATCATAGGAATTGGTCACTCTGCTTGTGTCTTTGATGTCCTCAGTACTCCCTATGCTTGTGTCTTTGATGTCCTCAGTACTCCCTATACATATCCTTAAAGCATTAGTTTAAGTTTACCAAGGCTAGAGATAAGATGGGCAGTGACAAAGAATCTATACTTCTGTTTGGTGGCTGTTTCCTTTCTAGTTTAAATAGTTAAATCTGTTTGTTTCAGGTGTCTTGTCCTTTGACAGGACCAAATAAGTTTTATTTAATCATGTCCAAAGGTTTTATATGGCTTTGGCTATTTTTTCTTACCTACACTGTGTAGAAAAATGAAGTTTCTATTGCCTTTAAGGCCATAGACCTAATGCAATACACCACTTTTTATTAATTTTTTTATTACGATATTGTCTGCTTTAAATAATAAAAAGGCTATACAAATAAGTAACTAAATAAAATAATAAATATGACTTAAAAGTGTTCATAGAATTAATTTTTGTGAAAAAAGGCAATCTTTTATTTTTTTACTTTTTACCTTAAAATAATACTCTCTTCATTACCTTTACATTATACTTCTCAGTGGCATTTCACATGGAGAAACAAAATATCCGTTTTTTCAGTGTAGCAAATAATGAGGAAAAGCCAAAAATAATTTCTCATGTAGTCTGTTCTGGTCGTAATTATATGCTTATAGTTGAGACTGATACCTCAGGTAAGAATCATCAATTTGTTTTCTTTCTTTCTTTATATTAAATAGAAAGCAGTAATTTGACATTAATTTTTAGAGATTTTGTTTTAACCATAAGTTATAGTTTGGTTCTAAAGTGTAGTTTATATTTTCTGAGCCATCTTTTATTTTCATCTATTAACTGATTACTTTTATTTTTTTAATAGTGAATTTATGGCAGAAGAAAGTAATGAAAAATTTTGGCAGTTTTTGGACACTGTAAAA